TCTGTGGGTGCCCCTACCCTCTGGAACGAACTACCCCCCGAGATCCGGATGATTCCGGATCTCCTTGCTTTCCGTCGCGCCCTCAAGACATGGCTCTTCCAGCAAGCGGACCTGACCTAGGGAGGATTTTATATGGGGTTTATTTTTTTAGCAATTTGACAGAGACACAACTTTAAAATTTGATTTAATTCGGTTTTATTGGGGGGGGGAATGTATTTATGTTTTGTTTTAAATATGTTGTGCGCCGCCCTGAGTCCCGTCGGGAGAAGGGCGGCATATAAATTAAATTAAATAAATAAATAAATAAATAAATATGGAACACCAGATTTTCTTAACGAACCTGCCGTTCACTTAACAACTGCAGCGATTCGCTTAACCACCATAGCAAACATAGAAGGTGCGACCCACTTAATGACCACCTTGCTTAGCAACATAAATTCTGGTCCCAGTTTGGTCATAAGGCGAGGACTCTGTGTAGCTCTGAGGCTGATTTGCTTTGTACAACCCCATGAATCTCTGCAGTTTCCAGTGAGTAGTTGACTCAGCTCTTGTGCCAGGGGAAAAGTTGCACTCAGAATTTTGCTGCATTTTGTTGTAGCAGTCTGTTTTCATGAGGATTCTCCTGTGATGATCTTCTCTTCCCGATATGTAAAGCCACTGTGGTTATTGTTGCAATAACAATAACATGGCTATGCCACACACAACCTCCCTCCCTTCCCAGGGAAGCCTGCTGGGGCCTCCTTTCCACTTTACTGAGAAAAGCACACGAACCAAGAGAAGAATAAGGAAATGCGAAGGGTGCCAGCTAGCTGCCAATTTTGGTGCTCTACATTGGCCAGCTGGCTTGGAAGCTAAGCTGACTTGCCTGCCCATCATGCTATACAAAAATGTGGTTTATCATGTAAGCAGTGAGGCGAAACCACCAGCTGTGCAGTAAGTCCTTCCTACTCCAAGATACTTTATACTTTTGCAAATATTTGAGTTTCCCCAAAGTGGATGATCCTGCCTCTTGTGGCACCATTTTTTTCTCTATAAGGATTCTGTTTTTTTAAGATAAAGGATTCCAACCTGACTGCAGAAAACAGTACAGTATATCATTACTTAAGTAAACAAAAAACAAAAAAACAACCTTCCAAAAATCTGAATTGCCTTGCAAGTAATTTGACACTGGATATTTACCATGAATAGCGTATACATTTTAAATTGTGTGTTGCATGTTAATATCAGAGAGATTGTGTTACAATCATGAAATTCAGGCTTGGGAACAAGGCAATTTTAATGTCCTAACAAAAAGTACAGGAATTGGATAAAACAGAGAGCAATTGACAGGTGTCAGGGTCCAAAAACTAAGAAACACATGTTGAGGTTCTTCTAAGCATTTTCCTTTATGGTTCTTCACCTACAGACAGAAATCTTGACAAACTGAAGCAGCTACTTGCACCATCAAATATACTGAGAACACTTACAGAGCAGCTGTTTTAACTCTTTCTCCCACTATCTAAACTTTGCTGTCTTTTGCTGCTCTGGAATGCAGCCTCTCCCTCCTGGGAATCCAGACCACATTCCACCACACCAGGACTTTGCATCTCTTCAAAGCAGGGGTGGGTAATAAAATTTCCCAAGGGGCTACATGAGAAATTGGAACTGTGTGAAGGGCCGAACCAACAGGGCTGTGAAGGTGTGTAGACATGCATGCATGCACCTATGTAAATTAAATTAGTTTTGAAGGCAGTCACTTTCAAAATAAAAGTGATCCGCGCAGGCTTGAGAGAGAGCCAGAGGGCTGGATGTGGCCAGGGGGCTATAAAAGTTCTACTTTAAAGAATGCTTAACTTCCAAATTCAACTTCACAACAGAGGTACTCCGTTTCAAAGCACTTTTGTGAAATGATGTGGTTTTCTGCTTTGAAAAGAAGGAAAGGACTTTGTGCAAAATCTGTTTCTGCCTAACCGAAGAACTAGAGCTTGGCATGGAGAGCATCAGCTCTATACCAGGTGGTGTCCACTACTGGCACGATGACGAGGCAAATGGTATGTTCTTTGCACCACACTAAATTTAGACACACAACTTAGTATTCACACTGAAATATACCTATTTATTTCATTTATCGGTCGCCCAACTCTAATGGATTCCTGAAGACATAGTTGCATTCATGGCCAACCAAGAATAAGAGAGCTGATCAGAACTTCCTAGGTGTGGAATAGAGTGTATTGGCTAGAAAGAATAGATATCCTCCAGAAATGTGGGGATCCCCTCCCAAATTCTTAGCACTGGCACTGTTGACTGGGGAATTCCAGACAGCTGGAGGGCACCCCAACTTTGTAAGGCATCTTAGAAGAGATATGGCAGTCTGTGGAGCAGATAGGTCTTTGTCCAATGGTTTTGTAGCTTTAGTAAAACGCCAGAATGAGGGTCCAAAATTTGGTGGTGGAGGGCAGCTAAGCGCTTTAAGGGAAACTTTGGCCAAACGGCTTTCATAAGGAAGAGCTTCCACCTTTCTCAAAAGAACTGCCAATTCTTTACAATTGTCCCCAAAATTGTCCATTGTACAAGACAAAACTTCTCATTTCCTAGAAAGCAAGCAAATGTAACTAAAAAGAGAAATGATATTTAAATGCATTTTGTAAAAAAAATGAAGAGAGATGGGAAAGTGGTCCCAAGCCAAAAGGTATGCCTATAGATCTGTTCAGCTCATAAGCACCTTGTCGAAGAATTTAGTATGTAAAGATCCATTGGGCAGAGGTAGATTGAAGGTAGCGTGACAGGTAGATTTTCATTGCAAGTGCCAGATATAGAATTAGGGTGAAGGTTCGTTCTCCAAGCTTATGGGTTGGTTTCTGAAAGTTTCATTACCAGGCTAGGTGACATCTTCAGTGGAGTTTAGGGGATGTCAATGTCAGTGACCCTGGCCTGATGTAACCTCCCCATCACAAGACCCATCACAAGCCTCTCACTGATGATTCACACCTGAGCCATCACAAGACCCCCACTTGACACACCCACACCCAAAGCCCTTATAAACAGAAGAACTCTGACATCCCCTGAACTCAGCTGAAGATGTTACCTAGCCTGGTATCAAAACATTCAGAAACCAATCCACAAGCTCAGAGAACGAGCCTTTATCATCCTACAACCGAGCTACAGATATTCGCCACTATTGCAGATACAGATACAGATCAAAAGAGCAAAGTTTGGGTATACAGAGTTTTCTATCTCTAAGCCCTACCAACCCAGACAGAGGGCAAGGTAGGGAAGTGGGTTGGGACCAATGCAGCAGTTCTTGACTTACAAGTTTGGTGACCATTTCAAATTACAAAGGCACTGAAAAGGTGACTTACAACTAATATTTGTACTTACAACTCTCGCAACATCCCTATGGTCACGAGATCAAAACCTGGGTGCTGGGCAACCTGGCATGCATAGAAGATGGTTGCAGCGTCCCAGGCTCGTGTGATGGGACCCTCATGGGACCTTCATTTGCGACCTTCCCTTAACGGCTGCACGATTCAGTTAACTGTAGTGATTTGCTTCACAACCAAGGCAAAAAAGATTGTAAAATCCGGCACGATTCACTTAGTGACTATCTTGCTTAGCAATGGATATTCTAGTCCCAAGTGTGGTTGTAAGTTGAGGACTGCCTGTGCTAGATAACCAAATTCACTGCAAAGATGGAGGAATCACAGATGGCTCCATCAGCTTTCTTGGGGATGGTAGAGAAATAAGGAAAAGGATAAATGCATAATGTATATTTATCAGCCCCTTGTCAGGCAATCCCAAACATCTGCGTTGGATGGAAATTATATCTATCTCTCCCACACAAAGTATTAACATCCACAGCAAATTCATCCAGCAGGCTGCCCATTTTTGACCTGATCTCCAAATCTTACAGGGTTCTACAAGACATAAAAGAAGGGAACAAAGGCCCCCATTGCTAAATCACAGTTGAATTACGAAGATGTTAGGCCGCCGGTTGCCATAGTAACTGTTCAAGGGTTATGATTACCGTAGCTCCCAAGGATACTCCCATTGGGGAACTCTCATTTGCCTACGGGGCAGGCCACACCAGTGCCTTGCAGGCCACAATAGCCATCCAGGTTTTTGTGCAGATATTGTTGGTGGTAATCTTCGGCATAGTAGAATTCGCCAGCCTCCCGAATCTCAGTCGTTATTGGTCCCAGTTGCTTCTTAGCCAGCTCCTGCCAAAGAAGAGGCAGAAATGCTTTTCAAGTAAAGAACAGTTTGAAATATTGTCTCCCTGCAGAGTCATGAAAGGAAGAGTCATTTATGCTCACATTTTTTACTTCTAGGTTACCAATACAAGAAAATATTTGTAGCTTAGGGTTGAAATGAGGGATCCTTGATGCTCTTAGCTTGGTGGTATTCTTGCAGATGTTTCATTACCAAATTAGGCAACATCATAGCTAGACAGATGGATAACCTAGTCATTTTTTACTGTGGGCACAATGGCACACGTTAAAAATGAAATTTAGTTGCTTGCTCTCAAAATGTACACATACATAACACACATTTAAACATACTATATATAACATATGTATAGGCCTACACCCTTACATATAAGTAACATATAAATATTAATCACTGTCCATCTTGAATACATAATCAGTGCTAGTACTGATGATGTTACCTAGTTTGGGTAATGAAACATCTATAAGAAAACAACCAAACTCAGAGAGCACTAAAGATCCTTGTAGCTTATCTTCACTTACCAACCTCTCTGTTTGCCAAATGTGACTTCTAGATAAGAGCCTGCATATTCCAGATCCCTTTTATGACACCGAGACAAGGAAGATAATTTAATTTACAATTTCTTTGAAATGTTTCAATTAAAAAGGATTCTCTTATTGATTTCACAAGCGAGAGAACCTGGAAAAATGGCTTACATTTACTTTTATAGTTAGCACAACAAAGAACTTCCAAGTTCTCCCTCCTCCTTGCAATATCCAATTCATGTTAGGATTTCAGAGTTGGGGAAGAGAATTAACATTTTAAAGAAGGCCAGCACTCATAAAGAGAAAACAGGTTTCTGGTGCTTGTGGCTCTGAATATTGGCTAGGAAAAGTGTGAGCTGCAATCAAAAGTATTGTTAGGGCAGGAAGGATTTTCACAGTGCTTGGGGAATGGAGTGCAGCTCCTTACTTTGTTTTTCATATATTTCCATCAAGGTACTGGGAAATGAATGCAGTATGGAGATATAGCCAAGGACTTTTCTTTTTAACAGCCCTAGACCAGGGGTTCTCAACCTTGGCAACTTTAAGACTTGTGGACTTCAACTCCCAGAATTGCTCAGCCAGCTTTGGCTGAGGAATTCTGGGAGTTGAAGTCCACAAGTCTTAAAGTTGCCAAGGTTGAGGACCCCTGCCCTAGACAATACAGGTAATCCTCAACCTACAACCATAACTGGACCAGAATTTCTGTCGCTAAGCAAGACGGTTAAATGAGTCTCTCTCACTCAATAATAACAACCTTTTTGGCCACAACTGTTAAGTAAAACACTGCAGTTGTTAAGTGAATCATGTGCTGGTTAAGCGAACCTAGCTTCCCCCATTGACTCTGCTTGTCAGAAGCCGGTTGGGAAGGTTACAAATGGTGATCAGATATCTCTGATCAACCTTTGATGCAACCTTTGTAAATAGATGCCAGTTGCCAAGCACCTAAATTCTGATCACGTGACTGGTGGATGCTGTCACAGTCCAGTTGTAGGTTATTTTTTTTAGTGCTGTTGTAACTTTGAATGGTCACTAAACATATGGCTGTAAGTCAAGGACTACCTGTAATGGATAAGGCAATGATACAAACCAGTACAGTTCCTCTTCCCCACTTAGGCTGGAGTCAGAGTCAAATGTCTTCAATTTTTGGAACAATGCTACTAAGAATCATAATAGAATGTTCAGATGTTTCCAGTTTCAACATCAATTTTCAGAAATGTAACTCAGAAGCCCTAGAGGAGGGGTCTTCAAACTTGGCCCTTTTATGACTTGTGGACTTCAACTCCCAGAATTCCCCAGCCAGCAAGCTAGGAAACCTCACACATCTTAAAGCTGCCAAGGCTGAGAGACACTGCTCCAGATGTACGAACCCCTTCCCAGCAGTCTATTTTTGCTGAGAATCCAGAGAGTTGAGGTCCACCTTATCTAGAAAGCAGTCAAGTCAGCAAAGGTTGTCCTAAGGGAGGGGTGGGGACTGATGGCCCTTTTCTGACTTGTGGAGTTCAACAGGAATTCTGGAAGTTGAAGTCTGCAAGTCATAAAGGGGCCATCATTCCCCACCTCTGTCCTAAGGTTTTGATATGTTTTAATAGTTTTTAAGGAATGTTTCTGACTTGAAACATGATTGCCCAGAAGGAGTGCCACGGCCTATGTGGCCACTTGAGGGCCCCCAAGATCCCTGTCTATTTGCAGAGTTCCTTCATCCAAAGCTTCCAGGTTTTTTCAGTAAGATGCATTCATTCAGAGTTAAAGCAGAGTTAAAGCTCAAAGCTAAAGAATGGGGTGGGCAGTATAATGGAACACTATTAATTGTTAATGATTATGATCCTGATTTCTACCAACAATATCAACCCCACCCCCCAAAATCTGCAATCCACGCATCTGGTTCTTCACACCATCTCCTTTTAATATGACTTTCTATATTGTACAGGTAGTTTTTGACTTATGACCACAATTGAGCCCAACATTTCTGTGGCTAAGTGAGACAGCTGTTAAGAGAGTTTTGCCCCATTTTACGACCTTTCTTGCCACCGTTGTTAAGTGATTCATTGCCGTTAAGCTAGTAACATGGTTGTTAAGTGAATCTGGCTTCCCCATTGATTTTGCTTGTCAGAAAGTCACAAAAAGTGATCACATAAACCTGGGACATGGCAACTGTTATTGCCAGTTGCCAAGTATCTGAATTTTGATCATGTGATCAATGGGGATGCTGCAATGGTTGTAAAAAAAAAGATAATAAATAGCTTATTTCAGTGCCACTGTAACCTGTATTTAAGACAGATACTTCCAAACAAGGCTTTTTCTTGCAATCTCCAGGGGGCAGATATAACTCTCTATTGACATGATAGCAATGTTCCAATATCTCAGGGGCTGCCACAAAGAAGAGGGAGGGTCAAACTATTCTGCAAAGCGCCTGAAGGCAGGACAAGAAGCAACAGATGGAAACTAACCAAAGAGAGAAGCAACCTAGAACTACGGAGAAACTTCCTGACAGTTAGAACAATTAATCAGTGGAACAACCTGCCTCCAGAAGCGGTGAATGCTCCAACACTGGAAATTTTAAAGAAGAGATTGGACAGCCATTTGTCTGTAATGGTATAGGGTTTTCTGCCAGAGCAGAAGGTTGGACTAGAACAATCTTTTGGGCACCAGGGACCGGTTCAGTGGAGAGTTTTTCTGCGGACCAGAGGGGGCGTGGTTTCACTTGCTTCCTGCATCCTGCAGATGGGGCTTTGCTTGTTTGTGTGGACCGGTTTCTGGCATGCTGTGGCCCGGTGCCGGTCCATGGACAGGGGGTTGGGGACCCCTGAACTAAGCAGCATCCACACAGAGAACCAGTTCTTCACATATTTGAATCCCAAGGTACCTTCCAAGTTTATTATTCTGCTTAAGCAGTTCCACACTACTACTTCCACCGTTTCTCTAATGTACCACGACTTTCACAATTTGAAGGTGTATGGACTTCAATTCCTAGAATTCCCCAGCCATTTTCAGGAGACAAATACACCAAAACTGTCATGTAAAATAGACCTTACATCTTTTTCTTTGGGCTCTAATGCTATTCTGTATTGATGTGTTCCCATCTTCACTTAAGAACTATTGTGTGGGGGAAGAGCATATTACTTGGGCAACGGCAAACCTTTTTTTCACTACATCCCATGAACAAAACGCTAGGAGACTCAGATGAACATTGCCAGCTAGTCCCCTGTTAGCTCTTCAAGGCAGTCTTGAGGAGAAGGGCAACTGGGAGCATTAGCTTTTTCTTGCAAGGTTACATAAACAGAATCTTGCAAAACTGAACGTGTTTCTCCCCTCCTTTCCTTCTACTCTCCAGAAAACGAAGGAGGGTCCTTCTGAAATGCTTTCCCCACGCTCCCTCCTTCTGTGAGCTGAGATATCTTTTACACACTGATTGTCCAGTCAGCAGCTCTTTTGTCTCCCAAGGTCATTTCCACATACCATTAAACCCCCCATCTCTTAAATGCATGGCTTCCCTGGAGCTTCCCTGGACTGGGACAGAAAGCTAAGTACCATTTCTCTCCATCTATCAAAGGTCTGGAAAGGTGCAGCCACAAAAATGCCATCCAATGCTTCCATAGGATGTGTTTAGCAGAGACTGGTGGGGCCCTCCCACCTCCTTCTCCCTTTATGCCATGGTTGGATTGTCCTCTGTCCTCTGCCTTTACCAGGTGGAAATGCTTTTCTCTCCTCTCCTGAGGATTAGTGGGGAAGCAGAGGCAGAAAGAGGGCCAAATAGTTCTTGTTTTACAACCACCCATTTAGCAACCATTCGAAGTTACAGCACTTTAAAAAGGGATTTACTTAAAACCATTGCAGCATCCCCACGGTCATGTGATCGAAACTGGGTTGCTTGGCAACCGGCATGTATTTACGACAGTTGCAGCATCCCAGGGTCATGTGATCACCATTTGCAACCTTCCCAGCTGGCTTCCAGCAAGCAAAGTCAACCAGGAATGCTGGATTCATTTTACAGCCATATGATTCACTTAATAACTGCAGTGGTTCGCTTAACAACTAGGGGAAAAAAGGGGGTGAAATTGGGCATGACTCATTTAATAACTGCCCTTGCTTGGCAATGGAAATTCTGGTACCAACTGTGATTAGTTTGAGGACACACTTAGATTGATTGGGGAAGAAGGTGGCCTTGGGAGATGAACGGGGGGGGGGGGGGGGGGG